AGGTCTTGACCTAAATCCCCAACCCCACTAGATACTATTTTTTAATCATAATACAATTTACTTATGGTTATTACAGATTTAAAATTGAGTTCCCTTTTCAAAGATTAGCTAATAATAATATACCAGTTAACTGACTGAATTGTCATCTCTGAATAAGAAACCAAAAATAAAAAGTAACATTTTAAAAAGGAAAATTATAAGCTGGGTGGTAATGGCACACACCTTTAATCCCAGTACTCGGGAGGCAGAGGCAGGAGGATCTCTGTGAATTTTAGGCCAGCCTGGTCTGCAGAGTGAATGCTAGGACAGACAGGGCTGATACATAGAGAAACCCTGACTCAAAAAACAAAAACAAAACAAACAAACAAAAAACTATGGTTGAAAAAAATCCTTAATTATATACAGATCTAAGATGAATCCAACCAGATTTTGACAGCTAAACATGAAAGTAGTTTAGAGATACATGGATTATTAATAGGAGCTTTGAGCCTTCCTTTTGTTAATTTTATTTCCTAGTTCAACAAAAATCATATAACATTTCTATGATACACTACATACAAAAAAAAATCAATAATTTCTCTGAGTACAAGAAACTGAAGGAAAATTCTCCAAACAACTGTGAACGCAGCGTTCTCAGAGCAGAAATGTGTACCTTAAATTTCCAACTAGGAGACTGTTTCACAACTCCAGATGGAAAGGGAAAAATGGACGACAGACAGTGAGGGGTGGCACTGACAGACTAAACAGAGATGCTCCACCCTGGCTTGGTCTATCTTGACCTCACCATGTATGAAGAAGAGGGACTGCTCACTACCAATGCAGGGCCAATAGAAAAAAGTTACCATTACGTTCCACCATTATTTTTACCTAAAAATGTAAAAAAAAAAAAAAAATCCAAACAAACAAAACAACAAGGAAATGAAAGTGAGCGGCAGGCAGGCTACAGGACCGTGGAAGGTGGTGCTGGAGGAAATACCAAGTACACTGAATACATACATACATAAATCGTCAAAGCACAGACAAAAGATTTCTTAAATGTGCGATGGACAAGGACACAGCTCAGGATGATTGCCTAGCAGCATGCACCAAGCACCGCATAAACCAGGGTGGAGTGCCACAATCCCAGCCCTGTGGAAGTTTGGGCAGTCAGGAAGCCAAGGGCTTTTGAGACAGGATCTCCTGTAGACCAGACTGACCTTAAAGCTGCCATGTGCTCAGGATGACTCTGGACTCTTGGTCTCCTATCTCCATTTCCCACATGCTAGGATTATAGGCATTTGCTACCAAACTAGGCCTCAGGAACATTTGCTTAGTAATTACATTTTTTTTTTGAGAATTTTGTGTATAAATGTAGTATGTATGGCAGTTTTTTTTTTTTTTTTTTTTGTTTTGGTTTTTCAAGACAGGGTTTCTCTGCGTAGCTTTGCGCCTTTCCTGGAACTCACTTGGTAGCCCAGGCTGGCCTCGAACTCACAGAGGTCCGCCTGCCTCTGCCTCCCAAGTGCTGGGATTAAAGGCGTGCACTACCACCGCCCGGCTAATGTACTTATTTATTTTTACATGAAAAATATTAGGCTGGTGAGATGGCTTAGTAGTTAAAAGTGTTAATTACAAAACCCACAGTGGAAGGAGAAAACTGACTTCCAACATGTGTCCTCCTCTGACTACCACATGTACCCACAGCGAATGTAGCTGCATGCAAGCACACGCACATACCAGTAATTATAAGTAAAGGGTTTTTTTTTTTAAACAAGGTCTTTCTACAGGGTCCTGGATGTCCTGAAATTCACTATATACTCCATGCTGGTCTTGTACTCATAGAGATCCACTAGCCTCAGCCTCCTAGGTGCTTCAATTAAAGGTATGTGTTAATCACATTAGGGACAAGTCTTTACTTTTAACCAGAGATATCTAAAGACAAAGGACTGACCATCACTTAATGATACATCTCCAAGAAATTATAAATATATAGTGGTTGCTTCTGCAGCACATATACCAAAATTAGAATGATACAGAGAAGATTAGCATGCCCCCTGTACAAAGATGACATGCAAATTCAGGAAGCATTTAGTATTTTTTTAACCACAAATTTAATGATATATGCCAAGCATGCCTTTATACACTGGTAAGTGGGTGACAACATGCAGGCAGGACACCCGTATACATAAAACATTAAAAACATAAGAACTCCACACTGAAGTTGTACATGGAAGTACAGCACACATCTGTACTGCCAATACTTGGACAAAGACATGAAGAGCAAGACTTCGGAGTCAGCACGGGCTACAGTAAGACCCTGACCCATTCGGAGTCAGCATGGGCTACACAGTAAGACCCTGACCCAGTCGGAGTCAGCATGAGCTACACAGTGAGACCCTGACCCAGAGAAAGGCTGTGAGGGGGAGAAGGAGCTAATCCTGCATCACCCACGAATCAATAACCCGCAAGGCTGGTGGGCGGGGAATTCGGCTTTGTAATGGAACGCTAGTCTGGCATGGGCAGACCTGCAGGCTGATTCTCGGCCCTGCAGAAAGCACACGAGGAGACACCCCACTTCTGAGGCCCTGAGGACGTGGTTGTCTTAGAGGACGTGGTTGTCTTAGAGGACTATGCGGAGGCTGGTCTGGATTCTGTTGGAGGAAAGGGCAAGAAAGAAAGAATACTAAGCCCCAGTGTCAAAGATGCTGCTCTCGTGGGAAGCTTATTGTTTTATTATTATTATTTTTGGTGTTTTGAGACAGGGTCTCTCTATGCAGTCCTAAGTGTCCTGCAACTCACTATGTATACTAGGCTAGCCTCGAACTCACAGAGATCCATCTACCACACCTGCCTCTGTCTCCTGAGTGCTGGGATTAAAGGGGTACACCACCACACCTGGCTAAAAATTTTAATGCATAATCAGCTATAGCAGAAATGTCCTTAAGCATGATGATGATCATAGACGATTACAATCACAGCTAACAATTTAAGGGTATAATGGACTACTCACATATCCACCCCAGTAGAATGCAAAGGACTGTGCCAATTGACTGGAAGAAATTCTACTCTTCCAATCTGCTGATTTTCTTGGGCTTTCTTAAAATGTGTCTGTAGCAGGTTCAAGGAAACACTTCGGAAATCATTAACTAAAAAAGAAAATTAACTTATGCATCAACAGTGAAGCAATTAATACACAGACTCGGGTTGCAACAAAACATGCAATTGCATCCTGCCTAACGACATCTGCTTAGAACACACAGACTGCAGAGTAAATAGTTTAGGAAAAATAAAATAAAAAGTGTTTTAAAATAATTCTGATTAGATTAGATAGCATCTAATTTTACCATTTATTAAAGGTGAAAGCAAATTTGCATGCTAATGTGATAGATATGCTTATTTGATTGTTTGTTTGTTTGTTTTCGAGACAGGGTTTCTCTGTGTAGCTTTGTGCCTTTCCTGGAACTCACTGTGTAGCCCAGGCTGGCCTTGAACTCACAGAGATCCGCCTGGCTCTGCCTTCAGTGCTGGGATTAAAGATTATTTTTACTTGACTCCTATGTGTGCTTTGCCTGCACATGTCTATACCACATGCATTCACTGCCTACAGAGGCCAGAAGTGGGCCTCAGACCCCGGGAACTGGTGTTTAGAGTTTGTGAGCCACCTTGGGGGTGCTCGAATGAATGGAGGCTTGGTCCTCAGGAAAAGCAGCTGGTGAGTATTCTGAACTGCTGAGCCATCTCCCCAGCCCTAATACTTTAGATTAAAACAAAATACACTGCTGTTCAACAGTCCTAACACATCAACCTTAGCCCTGCAGACCATAATTCTAGTTTATTCAGAACCACTGCCAAGGAGAAGCAGACTCCCAAGTGGGGCAGACTTTGAACAGCATCCAGATTTGAAGAGACTACCTTTCAAAATTAAGTCCTATTCATGACCTAAAGCTTGAGGTTTGTCCAGAGGCTTGTCTTGGTATGAATTAACGAGTTAAGCTTCTATTAGTTACTTCAATCCCATCTTCACTATCCTGAGTTTGGTTATAAATAGGCCGTGTAAAACAATTCACAGGGATTACAGGCAAGTTCACTCATGGATTACCAGCTAAGAGTTAAGTCTCTGGAAATCCTAGCACTAGGTCTCGGCTGGGAAGCTTCTCTCCCCTGTTGCCGTCTTTAGCTCTACAAATCTTCTTACCTAGCTAAGACAACAGACCAAAAGACTATGCTTGATCCTGGCTCCCAGGAGATAATTCTGCTTAAGCAATCTATCTTACATGCTCTGCAAACCTACCACATTGAACAATGCTTCGAAAACGGAGATCGCAAGCTGGTCCAATCCCATGTACCACAAAAACTAAGTGATCTATTTGTAAAGGTTCACCTAGAAGTAAATTGAAAAGAAAAATTAGAAATAGGTTATAAATATAACAAAATTTAAAATAAAAAAGGTAATTTTAAAGCCACAAAATTGTCACATACTTAACTTCTTACTCAGTAAAAGTACATTAATTTTACTTTTTAATTTTTTTCTTTATTTTTTGGTGACAGAGTCTCACTATGTAGCTCTGGCTGGCCGGAAACTCAGTATGTAGAACAGGCTAGCCTTGAACTCATAGCAATCCACCTATCTATGCCTCATGAATGCTGGTATTATAAATATTCTTATATAAGTCCTTGAAATTTTTCTTCAGGTTTTAAAACTATTTTGAAATAACTCTAAGCTCTAGAAAAAATACTAAAGAAAGCCCCATGCACTTGTTAAAAATGCAATTTACTTTGTTTTAGTGTTTTGTTTTGACACAGGAACTTGATATGGAGTTGAGACTAACCTTGAATTGATCCTCTTGTCCCCACCACGCAAATCCTAGGATTACAGCCAAGGCCACCAAATACTAAACACTGTTACAGAATTTAATAGCTGAGGATGATGGTGCACGCCTGTGATTCCAGCAATTGGGAAACGTACCCTGGAGTAGGCCAGCCTGAACACTACACTGTGAGACCACACCTCAAAAAAGCCAGTGTTCGCTTCAGTACCACATATGCTGAGACTGGAACACTACACTACAGAGAAGATTGGCATGGCCCCTTTGTAAGGACAACCCACAAATTCCTGAAGCATTCTCTATCTCTGAGAAATAAATGGCTCAGAGACCGGAAACCAGGAGGGAAGAACAACAACAAAACAACAAAACACAGAGCTGAGGAGGTGGCTTAGTTGGGAGGAGTGTGAAAGCATGAAGAGCCGAGTTTGCCTCTGCAGCACCCACACAAACATCTGTGCACGGCTGCACGTGCTTCCCACCCCAGCACAGGAGAGTGGAGACAATCCTCCAGAGCTCACTGGTCAGCCAGGCTAGCCTACACAGTGAGCGCCTGGCTCAGTGAGCGCCTGGCTCAGGGAATAAGGTGGAGACTGATAGAGAACACACCTATTGGTCTCCCCATTCTTGCTTCTGGACACAAGCATTGCACACTCATATGCCTGCACTGAATGAATGCGCGCGTGTGTGCACACACACACACACACACACCCCAACCAGATGTCGTTCAATTGGCAGAAGGCTTGTCTGGCACACACAAACCCTAGGTTTTTTGTCTGTTGGTTTTGAGACAAAGTCTCACTATGTAGCATAGGCTGTCCTGGAGCTCACTATGCACCCCAGGCAGGTCTCAAACTCACAGAGATCCACTAGCCTCTGCTGGAGCTGGGTTGAAGATGTGCACTATGTCCAGAGAAGCCCTAGGTCTGATCCCCAGCGTTACATGAAAGGGGCAGAGTTGAGCACACCTGTACTCTCAGCACCAGAGCAATGGACGCAGGAGCATCAAAACTTTAAAGGTACCCTTACAGAAGAGGAGTTTGAGACCAGCCCTAACCTACGTGAGACCCTTCGTCAAAAACAACAAAAAACCCCAAACAACTTAGATGAAGTGATGTTGATCTTAATTTAGAATAAGCCTATATAATTAAAGATCATTTTTAAATCTTAAAGTAATATAAATCAAAAGAATAAAGGGCCACAATTTAAAGAATAAACGGACATATCAGAACGTAAGAGAGAATAAAGGATTAACATTACCACAGTGAATATCAACAGGGATGTTCTCAACGCCTCTTTTTACTGATCTTGGTCGCCCTTGCTCTGTGGAGGTTGAACCCCATTCATCAGACCCTGCAACTGGCTGGTAATGCACCATGAGCTTAAATAGAAAAGATCAGAGCAATATACTCTACATTAACTTGTGATTTAATACATTTTGAATGATAGAAACATATCTTTCATATAACCAAACCTCAACAGGAGCTCTGAGATGCAACTCCTATGACCTAAAATGAGAACTCTGAAATACATTATTAGACTAACAGATATTTTAATAACACACAGGCCAGGTGTAGTGGTGTATGCTTTTAATTCCAGCACTAGGGAGGCAGAGGCAGGAATTTCTATGAGTTTGAGTCAGCTTGGTCTACATCGCTAGTATGATCTACATAGTGAGTTCAAGGCCAACCAAGGCTTCACAGTGAGACATTGTCTTAAAAAAAAATCCTACACATGAAAGACATGCTTATATAATGTATAGATGATTTTCTTAACCTATAGTGGCACAATTTTCCCTAAGGAAATTCTTTCTTAGGGCTGGGGAAATGGCTCAGTGCATAAAGCACTCACTGCTATCACAGTAGGACCCGAGTGAAAATCCCCAGAACCCATGTAATAGTGGACACAAGAACACATGCATCTTAATCCCACTGCTCTTATGCTAAAATGGAAGGCAGAGCACAGGGTTCTGGGAGGTAGAGACAAGGGAAGCCTTAAACGTTTGTGGACTAGCTAACAATGAAGAACTCTGTCTCCATATAGAACAGGACTGACATTCAAATCTGTCCTCTGACTTCAAAAGCACATTGTTGTATGTGCACACCCACATTCACACATACACTGTACACAAATCACACACACATACCCTTATATTATATATACACGTACATCATACACATATAGAAGAAAATCCTTACATAAAAGCTAACGAGTGAATAATGACTGTAAGCATTAATAACTTTGTAATAGTGAATTTAATATAAACTATGCCAAAGGTTATCCTATGTAGTGTCCATAGATCAAAAGGTGAATGGTGTTCCTTAGTAATACACTAACCTTTGATCTAAATCTCAGTGACATGCTTTACTTCACTTTACCTTTGGGTTGTGTAATACAATAATTTCTCTGTTTGGAGATTCTAATTTCTTTTTCCATTCATCCAGAGTTACAGCAAGCATGTACGTTTCCTTAAAATAAAATATATTTTATATTAGACTTTCCAAGAGCTTTTTGTTAAACTTGAATTTATTAATGAAATCCAGGAAGAAAATCATTCTCCAACTTAACAAATGCATTTGAAAATTCTTGGTAGTATAGTGCTGGAGAATGAATCCTGGGCCTTGCATATATTAGACAAGCACTCTACCACTGACTAGATTCCCAGATCATTAACATTCTTTTATAATGACCAGCAGCCAAGTGTGGTGGCCTGTACCTGCAATCCCAGCAGTTGGAAGGCTAATACATGAGGATTACTATGAATTTGAGGCCCACCTGGGCCACACAGTGAGTTTCAGGACAGCCAGAGATACACAGCAACACCTTGTCTCAAAAAGATGAAGTTTAACTGATCGAGTGCTCACCTAGCATGCAGAGAGCCCGACATTCTACCCCCAGCAAAGCATAAAACCAAGTACAGTGATGAATTCCCAGAATTCAAGGGGGTAGAGGCAGGAATATCAGAAGCTGAAGCCATCGTCAGCTACCTGTCAAGTCTGAGGCCAGACTAGGGTATGTGAGACGCTGTCTCAAAAAACAAAACAAAACAAACACCTGTCTCAAACAAAAAACAGAGACTAAAAAAATACTTTGAATTCTATCACTATTCATACACACACACACACACACACACACACACACACATCAATAACATTCTATTTCAATTTCGAGACAGCCAATATGATTTCTCAGAGCAAGAACATTACAAATTGGGGCTCAAGAGATGGCTCAATGGTTTAGAGCACTTGCTACTGTTGTAGAAGACCCAGGTTCAATTCCCAGCACCCACATGGCAGCTCACAACCATCTATAACTCCGGTTCCAGAGGATTCAACTCCTTCTTCTGGCCTCCTTGAGCACTGCCACATATGGTACACTTACACACAGGCAAAACACTCACTCATTAAAATAAAAAAATTTAAAAACTGGCGAGGTGTCATGGCACATATGTTTAGTCCTGGCACTCGGGAGGCAAAGGAAGACAGATCTCTGAGTTTGAGGCCATCTTGGCCTATATAGCAAGCTCTAGAACAGTCAGGACTACACAGAGAATCATGTCTCAAAAAATACAAAAAAAATTAAGTCAAAAGATTGTTCTTTGGTCACATTTTAAATGTCAAGAACAATTACCATTAGGGAAACATTTACATTTCATTTAAAAGGCATAATATAATTTCTATAAAGTTTAAAATCTAAAATTAAAACTTTACCTTGAATCTAACCTGCAAAGAGAAATTACATAAAGTGTGATATAAAAGCAGGCAAATTTTTCCTGGAAGTTACACAAAATATGTTACAAGAATTAAAACAACACAACAAAATAAACGACCAAAGGGGAAAAGTGAAGAAAATGGTAGGCACACAGAAGCAGAGGGATACCTCCAAAACTTGGCTGAAACTCTCTGAGTAGGGAACGTATTTATTGTCCTTGTCTCCCTTGTAAAACCACGTGCACCGCCTCACTTCCGAAGGCGGCTCGTCCCAGTACACGGCATACCGCGTCCTCTCCCCTAGGTGAACATCGTATCTGCCCCCTTCGGTGGGAACAACTCTCTCATTGCAATCTTTGCCTGTTAAGAATTGCAAAAGAGAAATCAAGTACAGTATGTCACAACACCTCCCCCAGAAGTACAACTGCAAGCTACACTCCAAATAATCAGGTGAGATGTAAACAGTGTCTACTTGGCTACATATTCAAATAAACGGGATTCACTTCATATCTTTCTCATGAACTACTTTTCGTATGTCAAAACCAATCATATTTTAAAGAAAAAAAATACTACCTGAACAGTTTTTCTTTTTCTAAGACAATTAATGTCTCTTACAATCTCATTCTCTCTCTCATTCTCTCTCTCTCTCTCTCTCTCTCTCTCTCTCTCTCTCTCTCTCTCTCTCTCTCTCTCTCTCTCTCTCTCTCTCTCATACACACACACACACTCATACAGATACATACATACACATAAAGATTTTTCTGAAATTTTTGCTTGAAAGATCAAAAGGTAAATTAATGAACCATGATGATAAACCATGAATAACACTATTTTTGTTTCATGAGAAAAAAAATGACATGTTAGTTCATTCTGCAATGTGACACCTTACTCTATACACATACTTTCTAAGTACAAACTAAAACACAAGCTAGAATACAGAAAATATTGGATAATTACTCAAAAATTTAGTACAGTTTTAGAAGGATGAAAATGGAAAGCTTCTCAAATTTAACTGTAATATCGATCACAGTGAGGGTGATTACTTTTTAGTTTGAGAGAGTTTAGGATCTTTGTGACAAGTCACCATTTGCTTCTCACCAGAGCCATGTGCCTCTTCCAGCTGCTGTGAATCGTCGGAGTTGAAAGGAATCCACATCTCCTTAGAATCTATTATCTTACAATAAAACCAGTGGGAAGAAACCGGTTCGTAGGAGCTGCCGACATCCATGTCTATCAGCTCGAAAGAACTACAGGAGTTTGGGGATGGGGATGGATCTGACTGAGACAGCTGTTCCTGGTGCGACTCCACTGATGACATTTCGCTCTAGAACACAAAATAAAACTGTCAGAATTATTTTGCCTCTATGAACACTGTAAATGTTCATGTGCCCCACTACCCCCGGCACACACACACACACACACACACACACACACACACACACACACACACAATGATCGTTTTTTGGAAGCCATTCTTGAAAACAAACAGCAAATTTTAAAGTTGCATAATTTAAAACAAAAATATAAAATTATTCGGGGGGGGGGGAGACAATGTTCAGCGCCACCATCCTGCACTGAGCTCCCAAATCTCCTCAGAAAACTAAAATGTGTGATCTGACAAAAAGCTCTTTAACAAACCCAGAAATTTCAAGAAACATGTAGTCAAAACTGATTGCCACAAGATATATCACAATTATCAACCTAAACGTAGCAAAGGCTGAATATTGCTGCCTCCAAGTGTGGCATACAGTGTGACATAGTCCTAACAGCTAGGTTAAGACCACCCCCACCTCCGGCCCCAGGTCCAGGGCTGGAGAGATGGCTCAGCAGTTAAGAGCACTGACTGCTTTTCCAGAGGGCCAGGGTTCAATTCCCAGCACCCCCCCACTTGACATAGCTCACAACAGTCTGTACTCTGTCGGTTCCAGGGGATCCGACACCCTCACACAGACAGACATGCAGGCAATGCACATAAAATAGAAATAAACAGTTACAAATAAACATTACTGCCACACGTTTATACAACTATTAGACTCTAAAACTACGGAAAACACAACTAGCCACTTAAGAACCATTTTGGCTGCTCCTCCAAGCTGTGTGCTTCCAGAGGCGCTGTGGTACCTTTACCGCCCACCCAGGAGAACTTCGCCTGCAGCCACGGTTGCGCACCAACCAGCCCCAGGGAGCCTGGGAGCCTCGGGCGCCCAAGTTTCGGGTGCAAAGTTAACAGGTGACCTCCACAGCCCCCCTCCACCACTACCGACACGACGAGTTTGCAGCGATCCGACACTCTATCGCAGGCACAGCAGCAGAACGCAAAGCTCTGCGTGGGAGGCTGGATGAGCAGCAGCCCTGCACCCGGGGCACGGTCGGCCGCGCCGCCAAGCTCTGAGCTCGGGAACCAACGCTCCCGGGGCCTCCCCGTTATCCGCGCTCGGCCTGCCCTCCGCTGCCGACCCACTCCTGCCCGCAGCTCCGAGGCCCGGGGAAAGGAGCAGCCGAGCCGCCCACGGATGCCGGAGGACACCGGAGCCCAGCCACCCACCCAGCCACCC